ATGTCAGGGTTGGAGGGGTACAAGAGGGTGAGGGTGAGGGTGGGGGTGGGGGTGGGGGTGGGGACAGTTAGGTGTATACAGTGTGGGGGATTAGGGTTGTGGGTGAGAGTCAGGGTGGATGACATTGGGTGATGGTGAGGGTGGGCACAGTTAGGTGTATACAGTGTGGGGGATTAGAGTTGAGGTTGGGAGAGGTTTCGAGTGAGGGGTGAGGGGTGAGGGGTGAGGGGTGAAGGTGTTGGGCGGCGAGAGGAAGGGGGTATACTGGTATATCAGGGGTTTATCTGGTGCTCTATTTGAGGGTGAGGTTTTAGGGGGTGGGGGTTGGGGGCACTTGGTGGCGAGTAGAGAAGGGCTATACCAGTATATCTGGAGTCTATCAGGGACAGACGGGAGGAAAGAGTGCATGTCTCGAGAATCAGCTTTGCATCTCTTGTGTTGATCCCCCTGCCTAAACATGCAGCACATTCCTGATACACAGAATCTGCCCAATAGTATGCCGATGACACACTGAGTGCAGCAGCATGAACTGCATCAGTCAGCAGCGCAGCGTGACATTTACACCAACACAGATCAGCTGTCTTCATTGTCTGCTGCAAGCATTGAATGTCAGATCAGGAAACATGGCAGAACTATACTATACTTGCATTAGAGACTGGTCATATATTAGAGGGGGAAGGGGGTGTAGCTCGGTGGCCATCAAAAAAATAAATAAGGACACATTTTTCTTAATTTAAACATTATTTAATTAATGGTCATTTATTATAGGGAGGGGGGTCATGAAAAAAATGTTATATGTATTTTTGGGGGTGAGGGCATGAACAAATTTAGACAAGAAAATGTCCTAAGACCCCCATCTCACAGGACCAGTAAGTCACACAAATCCTGTACATTAATCCTAACTTGATTATACATATCAGCATGTCTGTATATCAACTCTCTCCAGTAATCACCTGAAATGTCACACACCAAAAAGAATTTTTTATCTATAAAAAGTTTCATGTCTTCAAGATAGTTTCTCTATATTCTAACATGCGTAGCCTAAACAGCACAGAGAGCCATAGCTTTTAGCTGTACGGATGTACATTTTTTCTATCCTTAAAGTAGGCAAGTCCAGATATGTGGGACGCCAGTCCTTTATAGGGACAGCTTGTTCTTAATATTCAAATCAAGAAATAATGATATAAACTAATAGGGCTTTACCTTGTCCCTTACAAACGTGGGAGTCCAGGGACCCCCAATATTTAATTTTAAGTGCCCTTGTGGGAAATATGAGGGTCCTGTAAAGAAATGAAATGGTATAAGGATGCCGTACATTTAGAATTACTGTTGGGAGACATGAAAGTTTGTATGCTGTATCTTAGATCAATCATTTGTTCATGAATGGTCCATTTAGTGACTTCATTTCCGTTATCCCAAACTGACATTGCCTTGTACGTAAGCGGTAGTGAGTGAGTGAGTGAGTTGGGTTTACCGCCGCTTTTAACAGTATTCCAGTTATATCACAGTGTGTCAGCTTAATGTGGGCGGAAAGCCCGAAGTGATGCAGGTCTCAGACATTTACCACTTCGGTGAAACCCACGACCACGGGTATAGTGCTGACAAACCTAGAAACATAATCAGGGCGAACCGGGATTCGAACCCACAATCATAGGTTTCTGGCGTGCCCAAGGGACGCAACTCTGCACAGCGAATCGCGGCGCCTTAGACAACTGGGCCACCCGTGCCCCCCACATCAGCAGTAGAATTTAACAGTTTTAGTCAACTAGTCCTGTTCCTGATAACATATAGTCAAACTCTTAGGAATGGCAAATTTCTACAAGTCCTAACCGTGCCCCTGAATTACTTTAGAGCTTGGGATATATCAAAGATATGAGACCCCCATAACTGTTCTTGATGCGATGAACCTGTTGTTACAATTAATATTATTGTACATCCCTTGGGAGACAGTATATTATTTTTCTGTGTCCAAACTCAACAGTTGTGCGTACTGGGCGCTAATTCGCGCATCGTGTAAAACCCTGAAGCAATAATTATTGACTTAGAGACTTGTGCAAGTCTAAGAGAGGGAGTTTGCTGAGAGTCGTGCACTGACAGCCATATTCCTGCTGCCTGGAAAGTCTATCACAGCTTGTGCATCCCGTCCAGGTAACATGGAGAATTCCACCCTCCACGTCTTACTCACCTACTCTCATGCTAATGTCAACACTGTTATTGTCCATAGGATAACAGCGCCATGGGTTAAGAAAAACACTGTGTAGTTTAACTGCTCCATCAGTTTTTACATCACATTTTCCTGTTTCGATCCCTACTTCATTGTCTGAGCATAGCTCCTGTCTGGTGCTCCCAAGTGTTCCCACTGAGACGTGATCAAACACTTGGATCTAACACTAAGTCAGGAAAATATTTATTACACATTTAGTTTATCTGTTAAAAAACTCAACTGCTCTCTTTTGAGGGGGGCTAGCTAGACTTAACCAATTTGTCTACTGGTTCCGAGGCCTGTAATTAAATAGAGTGCAGTCAGGGTGTAGGACTGGGGATGTCAGGCTGTATCTTGATATCGATGTATTGGTAAATGTTTAATGTCGATGCTGTAAGAATACACGTTTCTGAATATTAACACTATATTAACATTTTACTGTCACAGAAACATTTACATTTATCATTTGTTTAGGTTTGTTTGTTGTTTAAGGCCGGACTCAGGAATATTCCAGCTATATGTAAGAACATCTCATGACATATTTCAACTCTGTCCTGGGACTTTCAAGGGTTTGCAGTAGTCGTTACTGTACCTCAATCTTATGATCCCCTAATGTTTCAGTTAGGATCATTACAAGGACTCAGACCCAGCTGAGAACTAATCTGTGCAAACAACAAAATTAAAGTTAGGATCAAAGTCATTATAGCAGCAGGGAAACTAACATATTTAGACCACTAGTCCTCATAACTATAACTTACAGCAAACCCTTAAAAATGGCAAATTTCTACTAGTCCTTATGATATCCATTAACGCTTGGGCAGTTTGGCAAGGACTATAGGACTAGTGCCAATTTCTAATGCTGTTTTAGTATTTGACAACCTACCAAAAAGAAGACAAATTTTGGACTTATTGATAATTTTTCTAAGCAGTTGCTACAAAATGCTAAGCAAAATGTGTCAAACTGCTGTATATACAGCGGTAGAAACTAACATTTTTAGTCCACTAGTCCTCATAATGATAAGATATAGCAAAACCCTCAAAAAGGGCAATTTCTACTAGTCCTTATGATACCTTAACTATTGGTCAGATTGGCAAGGACTACAAGACTAGTGCCAGTTTCTCATGTTGATATACATGACAATCCATATGATCGACATCACATAATTGGTAAAACTTAAGACCTCAAAGAAGCATTCAGGGCCTGGGTTTGGTCAAGGTGGGGTGAGGCCATACCCCATCGTTTATACTACTAAAGGTATTTTGAGAAACACTTGCTTACACTTTTCTCATATCAATATTGGTCATACATTTTCTCATATCAATATTAGTCATACATTTTCTCATATCAATATTGGTCATACATTTTCTCATATCAATATTGGTCACACATTTTCTCATATCAATATTGGTCAAACATTTTCTCATATCAATATTGGTCATACATTTTCTCATATCAATATTGGTCACACATTTTCTCATATCAATATTGGTCATACATTTTCTCATATCAATATTGGTCATACATTTTCTCATCGGCCACTTATGATACACCAAGGTAATACAAGCAACTGATTCGTGCCAATGTGTCTGGCAGACCAAGGGGGATAACTCCTCCCACCCCATGAGCTGACATGCACACACAGTATAAGGCAGCCAGTGTGAGCAACCAGCAGCTGGCTCTGACTGACTCTGTGTTGTAGACTAACATCTAGTCTCTGAAATAAACATATTTTACAGGAAAAAACAGAAGTCAACGTTCATTAATAAAATATAACAAAATAAAGCCAAGAAACTTCATTTTCAGACCTGCCCACTATTATATATAGACTTGCATGGGCTGTATTGGGTATATTTGTTTCACCGGGTCTGTATGACAGACTATCTGTGTTGCTGTAGCTGTGCGAGAAGTCAGATATCACAGAAAACCAGCATGTTATCCCCTGTTACCTTCCTTTTACAACACGTGTGCCTGCAAAGTAAGCGGTGTAGAGAATGTTGAAAAAATAAACATATAACCAAAAATTGTGCAAAACATTTATTCCACAACATGCTAAATTTGATATACACCATGCATGATACACAACAAAGACTGCAAGCAAATTATGAGGAAAAATTTCAAGTCTAGGACATTTATAACTGATGCAATGGATATGAATGGACTTTGGACACTAATGCAGTGTTGAAATAGTCAGCTTGTTTGGAAACACTCCAAAGCCATTTAACCTGAGTTTCGAACACTGATGGCGGTGATGAAGATGAAGTAATGACAACACTGATAAGCTACGTCTACTACAGATGACAACAACCAGGGTAAAATAGACTGAAATACTAACTTCAGCTGAACAGGAACTTCAGCACTTTGGCTGAAATACCAATATCAGCTGAACAGGAACTTCAGCACTTTGGCTGAAATACCAATATCAGCTGAACAGGAACTTCAGCTCTTTGGCTGAAATACCAATATCAGCTGAACAGGAACTTCAGCTCCTTGGCTGAAATACCAATATCAGCTGAACAGGAACTTCAGCTCTTTGGCTGAAATACCAATATCAGCTGAACAGGAACTTCAGCTCTTTGGCTGAAATACCAATATCAGCTGAACAGGAACTTCAGCTCTTTGGCTGAAATACCATCAGTTGAGCATGAACATGCGCCGTTCAGCTGAAGTCAGTGTGTGAGAATACAGCTATGCACAAGGCCAGGTTACGACAGTTCAATCCACAATGCAGGAAGTTGGTGAGCATGCAACACACTGGCAGGAAGTGAGGAATTCTGGGAGGGATACATGTACGAGTACCTGAGGTCTATTAACGTCATTCGTCTTGGTCGAAGACATGGTCGCTTGCGTGGTATTTGTGGTGTGCCATAGATGTTCTGGACGTCGAACATGCTGGACGCGGGTTCCATCAACATGGGCGTTGGTCTGCACCTTCTCCTTGAAAGTAATCCACGGGATATGACCCTGATCCAACTCGCAACAAATCCTCCTGTCTTGGACAACTGTTGATACCTTCACTAAGCCATTCAAATCCTGCGCACAGCCGTTCCACAAAAACTAGTTCTTTCAATAACACATCTCTCCTCGTTAGTCTCACTTCCTCATCTCTGTACACAAGGTATCCAATATAACGATGAGGTTCGGCAAATCAGTTATTCTGCGTCATCTTCGCCGACTTTCTTGTAGAAAGCTCGGTTATTGAGGAGTCAAAAACACGATATTCTTCCTCCTCCAACACGAATAACAATCCTTCCTTGCCATACGGTCAAAATCAGGTTTTAGCGAAAGTGTATTCAATCAATTGAAACTTTTTGTACAAGTTGTTGGGTGGTATCAGATTGATACACATGTTAGCTGAGGCGTACGAGGAGCTGCCTCCGCCAGGGATTCCACCTCGGCCATATTGATCTATCCCACGATCCTCTATTCCTCTCTTTTAGACACTGCAATGGTGGACACACATTTACATCAGGATATCAACCAGCCCCACAATCAACTATTTGGGGGCAATTTTGAAATAAAGCAATCTTTCAACTGTGATTTACGATAACGCATTATGACAGAACGTAGTTGAACGTTGTTGACTTGGGGGCAATTGCGATTTCCCGGCACATGTGACTCAGTGTAACCTAAAAGTGTTTCTGAAATAGAGTTTTACAGTAATGTGTATCAGTAAGAATTACTGTGGAAGTGTTGTGTGTTTTAAACAAGAGAATCGTGCATGCGAACCTACCCTTGCAGCTGATTCTTCAGGGAATGTTTTATACACAGTACCTGTCTTAGTCTTTCAACTGATTGGGAATGATTTGTAAGGCAGTCTGTGCCAAACTGTTTGAGTCAACTAACTGAACTATCCGTATCATTTTGAGGAGATTTTAGTGATAATATATACACGATTTTAAACAGCTGAGCTTACCAGACCTAACAGCATTTTACTTGACTGTGTATGGCTGAAGTGACAGACCATACTGAATATATAAATAAGCAGAGTGTACAATTTGTAACATGCAGAAAACATATTTCAAAAAGTACTTCAGTCAGTGAGTGAGTATGGTTTTACAGCACTTTTAGCAATATTCCAGCAATATCACGGCAGGGGACACCAGAAATGGACTTCACACATTGTACCCATGTGAGGAATCGAACCCGGGTCTTCGGCGTGTGGAACAAACGCTTTAACCACTAGGCTACCCCACCGTCCCAGAAAGTACTTCAGGGGCTACTACTATAATAGGCCTTGATTTAACTTGCACCAGGTGCAAGTTGGCATGAAAACCTGGTTGCACCAGACAAAACCAGGTTGCCTCAGGTCCTATATATTTATCAAAGTTCAAACATGTGAAGGGTATCTTCATAACCAGCATCATTGCATCCATCATTGCCATTATTTTATGACACAATACATTAATTATTCGATTTGCATCCAAAGTTTAGGGGCGGTCGGGAAGCCTAGTGGTTAAAGCGTTCGCTCGTCACGCCGAAGACCCGGGTTCGATTCCCGACATGGGTACAATGTGTGAAGCCCATTTCTGGTATTCCCCACCGTGATATTGGTGGAATATTGCTAAAAGCGGCGTAAAACAATACTCACTCACTCATCCAAAGTTTAAAATAATATGTTCCTCAACAAGTTATTGAGGAAATCTGTATAAATGAACTGTTGATGGATTTGACTCACATGAAGTATGAATGTGTGATAGGACAAGGTATGTGGTGGATTTCATCAAGCTGGGGGGTAGCCTAGTGGTTAAAGCGTTCGCTCGTCACGCCTAAGACCCGGGTTCAATTCCCGACATGGGTACAATGTATGAAGCCCATTTCTGGTATCCCCCACCGTGATATTGCTGGAATATTGCTAAAAGCGGCGTAAAACCATACTCACTCACTCATCAAGCTGGATTTTTCTCATCTTACATGGGGACAATAAAATAATGTGAGGTCAGATGTCTGGTACAGTTAAGTATGTTTATATCGATCATGCTTATAACAAACTGACAGATATAACAAACTGTTTTTTTTGGTCCTGGCCATTTGCAGTATATTTGCTGTATATCTGCTTATGATGAACTACGGTTATAATGGACTAAAATTATTGGTCCCTTTGAGTATGTTATAACCATAGTTTATTGTACTTTTATTATTGCCATATGTATAATCCTTATTATATATAACAATTGATTTGCAGAAATAACTGACCTACCTATTCATTCCTGATACGCCTGGTAGGGAAGAGAAGCACACTTTAAGGACGACGTCAAACTACTGCCTGTCCAGTACAACCCCCATTACACCAATACTGTCAATACCCACATTTAACTACTGTACGCAATGTCTCGCTGGGGACTCCAGTCAGCTATAAACACAGATTTAATATGGTTTCTGTTACGTAAAAGGCCTGCTTGAAGCTCATTCTGTTTCAAAGCATCTCAATAAAAGACCTCTATTTTACCTTTTTTCCTTCGAAATTAAATTTGGGACACAAAGATGGAAACATTTCCAATCTTCATCCATGCTTCTAGAAGACAAAGGTTTGGTTGATGCGATGGCATTCACAGTTGTCTATCCAGAGCAAAGATACAACAACCTTGTCCTGGGAGGAAATAGTTAACACTTTGGTCCAAACTAGAATAAGAGGTATCTAATCTATAGTTAGACTACTTCAAATTAAGCACTATAGCTCAAAGAGATATCGATTGGTTGTTCTTAATTCTCATCTAAAGCATGCCATTCACAAATGAGACAATTTTGAAAAGTTACCAAATAGAATATATTTCCTAAAGGAAACTAATACTATTTCATCTTAAGGAAATTACTGTTCATGTCTTTACATTTTATTACATTCTTAGAAATGAAATGAAATTTTATCATTTATAAGTCATATGAAATTTACAATATTCCTTCAAGATCATTAGCGAATTTAACTAACAGAATACAACTTTCAGATGCCAAAATTAACTGGAACATTACTTTAACAGATGACGTCCAATAATTTCTAATTAATTCTTGAATATTTAGAATGTTCCCTTTATTAGAAGGAATGTAATTTTGTGTTGATTTATCCATGTTACTTTACATGACACACAGTAATGACAGGGATACCTCCAGCTCAAGGCCAGTCCATGTGTCGGTGTGGCATGGCAGGTATCATGACACCAGGCAGACAGCTCCTTATGTCAGGACAAACATTAACAGCTCAGCTGACCATCTGGCTCCCGGATGGCGGCTCCCTAACCACACTGACCTCTGTCAGGAAACAGTCAGGACCGGACCAGGAGGAGAACCCATGTCCCATCACCCACTGATGAATGGGAGGGTCTGGGGTCTCCCTGCTTGTGTTATTCATTGTCAGATGGTCTGTATTTATCTTACAGAAAGAAAGGGCAAGACTGGAGTGTCAGAAACTTGGAAGGTCCTCAGGTTCTTGAGGAACTTGACTGAAGTAGTTATTGAAGGGGCCCTAAATCACTTTTAACATTAGGCTATGATGTTTACCCTTGAATTTCATCCTTATTTTGAGCACTGCATGAATCATTCTCTCTTGAATAAATATGAATGTCATACAGGTAATTTAGTAATTGTATGCTGACAATTGACTTCAATGGTAGCTGGAAGGTTAGATGGATTATCAGTGCATTTCAACTTTAGTGTTTACCATACACTCAGGTTTTTATCATAAATCACTTGATTCCAAAAATGATACAGTGAGTACAAAGGTGATTGGTGAATGCATAACATATATCACCTTGTGATTGACCAATATAACAGGTCTCATCAGAGAGTGCAACAATATTAGTAAATAACCTCCTCCTTTTCCAACTGGGTGTTAGATAACAAGATGGTTGGTGAATATTTACCGTCTGTTATAGTGGGGGGCATCAATGGCAGCCAGTGGTGCTCCAGTGTTTTGTACTTCCAGCATTTCTTGTCAGCCCTGCAGGTCGGACCACAGACCTTCGCTTCAAAGCATATTTCTGGTACAATATTCCAATGGCACATTATCCTTTATCGAATAACACTGTCTGCCCATGATAAAACTTTCTCAGTGAAATAAATCCTCTTCAAGAGCTCAAATTCGGTACTAATCCTGAATTTCCAACATGGCGGTCACTGACGTCTGCTTGTGTCTTCCAGTTCTGGTTACATGTTTTACACACTGGGAACTAAGTTCTGAAAGAGATGAATTATGATGATGTGACAACAAAGCTGACAAAAGTGCAAAACAAAACAATTAAAAATGACAAATCAAGAAATAACGTGAGTGTGCAAAAAAACATATTCAAGGACATAATAAAAGGCTTTTTCCATTCTTATCCAAATCAAACCAAACACAAGAAAGTTTAATTTGGCTTTTGAAATTATTATTGATCTTTCAAACAGAATTTGAAAGACATTGGAATTACAATATTATCAGCTTCCTGCCTGCATTAACATGCCAACTTCATTCAATACATCAACTAACACTTCGAATCAAGCACCCTTCACGATTACCATCCACATACACCACCGAGTTGCAATCAATCAACCATGAACACAAATGAACCACAGAACACTCAGCACAGAAAATCAGATCTGATCAAGAGTCATGGATAAAAAAAGACTTGAAGATGCATGGATGAATAGCGACAGAGCCAGAACAGTACATGGATGTATAGCTGCAGAGCCAGCACAGTACATGGATGTATAGCTGCAGAGCCAGCACAGTACATGGATGTATAGCTGCAGAGCCAGCACAATGCGTGGATGTACAGCTGCAGAGCCAGCACAATACATGGATGTATAGCCGCAGAGCCAGCACAATGCGTGGATGTATAGCTGCAGAGCCAGCACAATACATGGATGTATAGCTGCAGAGCCAGCACAGTACATGGATGTAGAGCTGCAGAGCCAGCACAATGCGTGGATGTACAGCTGCAGAGCCAGCACAATGCGTGGATGTACAGCTGCAGAGCCAGCACAATGCGTGGATGTATAGCCGCAGAGCCAGCACAATGCGTGGATGTATAGCTGCAGAGCCAGCACAATACATGGATGTATAGCTGCAGAGCCAGCACAATACATGGATGTATAGCTGCAGAGCCAGCACAATACATGGATGTATAGCTGCAGAGCCAGCAGAGGAAAAGGATGTATAGCTGCAGAGCCAGCACAATACATGGATGTACAGCTGCAGAGCCAGCACAGTACATGGATGTATAGCTGCAGAGCCAGCACAATGCATGAATGTATAGCTGCAGAGCCAGCACAATGCGTGGATGAATAGCGACAGAGCCAGAACAGTACATGGATGTATAGCTGCAGAGCCAGCACAATACATGGATGTATAGCTGCAGAGCCAGCACAGTACATGGATGTATAGCTGCAGAGCCAGCACAATGCGTGGATGTACAGCTGCAGAGCCAACACAATGCGTGGATGTATAGCCGCAGAGCCAGCACAATGCGTGGATGTATAGCTGCAGAGCCAGCACAATACATGGATGTATAGCTGCAGAGCCAGCACAATACATGGATGTATAGCTGCAGAGCCAGCACAATACATGGATGTACAGCCGCAGAGCCAGCACAATGCGTGGATGTATAGCCGCAGAGCCAGCACAATGTGTGGATGTATAGCTGCAGAGCCAGCACAGTACATGGATGTATAGCTGCAGAGCCAGCACAATACATGGATGTATAGCTGCAGAGCCAGCACAATACATGGATGTATAGCTGCAGAGCCAGCACAATACATGGATGTATAGCTGCAGAGCCAGCACAATGCATGGATGTATAGCTGCAGAGCCAGCACAATACATGGATGTATAGCCGCAGAGCCAGCACAATACATGGATGTTTAGCCACAGAGCTAGCACAATACATGGATGTATAGCTGCAGAGCCAGCACAATGCATGGATGTATAGCTGCAGAGCCAGCACAATGCATGGATGTATAGCTGCAGAGCCAGCACAATACATGGATGTTTAGCCACAGAGCTAGCACAATACATGGATGTATAGCTGCAGAGCCAGCACAATACATGGATGTATAGCTGCAGAGCCAGCACAATACATGGATGTAATGCACATAATCACAGAACAATATTGGAACCTACAGCTCACTGCAATCAATCTGCAGTGTGATGATTAAGTAAACATCACAGTAATCTCCCAGCTAACTGGTCCAGTGCTTGGCTTGTTTTCCTCTATTCCCCAGAGGGCAGGAGGTGTTAGGAGCAAGGTTTGATGTGGTCACGGCTCGGTGAATCCCTCACACACCTCACTGATCACAACCACTTGTCCTACCTCTGGGACTGTCTAATACACCTGACCCATTGTCTGGCATGTGAGATATTGCTTTGTACAGTCTGGGAGATATCAACAATAACGCACTGACTTCTGCTGCTCTTCAGTGACACATGAGTAACCTACTGCCATGATGGGATCTACTGTGGAAATCAAACTATCAAAGCACCAAATGATAACCATCCACTGATCATTGAATCATCATTACATTCATCTTCATCAGCAAATCAAATTATCCTACAGGGAAATGTGTGTTTTAATTTCAAGGCATACTTCATTACACAAACTGACATTCTACAACTATTTTCAGTGGCATGCAAATACATGTTTCTGAAGACAATTAGTGCTATCTCCCCACAAACACTTTCCAACCAATAAACTTAGGACGAAACATTCTACCAGAATCTATTAATCATATTTTGCTCTGCTTTCACAAAATGCAACAGGCAATGACCAGTTATCAGATGTTACTTTGCACCGTAAAATCATTCATTCAGAAAAAAAAATCAAATATGACTACACGTTAAGAAGCAGTTTGGCGCTTCACACCATGTATCTCCCCATCTCCCAAGCGGGAGAGTTCCTTATCCAAGCCTCTCGCTCTGGGAGGTAAGTGACAGCTAATAGTCTTGTTATCTTTATTAGGGGATCCTGTTAACATGGGATGTACATAAACTGGCTAAGTGATTGAAAAACCTGGACTCATCATACAGAGACACGCAGACTCGATCAGCTTCAACACTGAAGCAGACGGCATTGGCTGCCATCTTGTTTTCTCATTCAGATTGTGGAAAATAATATTTGGTTTCAGATTTATGTCGTGTTGGGAGACATGAAAGTTCGTATGCTGTATCTTAGATCAATCATTTGTTCATGAATGGTCCATTTAGTGACTTCATTTCCGTTATCCCAAACTGACATTGCCTTGTACATAAGCGGTAGTGAGTGAGTGAGTGAGCTGGGTTTAACGCCACTTTTAACAGTATTCCAGTTATATCACGGCGTGCTAGCTCCATGTGGGAGGAAAGCCCCAAGTGATGCTGGTCTCAGACGTTTACCACTTCGGTGAAACCCACGACCATGGGTATGGTGCTGACAAACCTAGAAACATAATCGGGGCGAACCGGGATTTTGAACCCACAATCATAGGTTTCTGACTTGCCCAAGGGATGCAACTATGCACAGTGAATCGCAGCACCTTAGACGACTGGGCCACCCGTGCCCCCACATCAGCAGTAGAATTTAACAGTTTTAGTCCACGAGTCCTGTTCCTGATAACATATAGTCAAACTCTTAGAAATGGCAAATTTCTACAAGTCCTAATCAGACCTTAATAATCGGGCAGTTTGGCAAGGACTACAGGACTAGGCCCAATTTCCACCACTGTACATGAACCTTTCTGCTTCTCTGAGTTATTTATCAATGAAGGAACATTGAAAAAAGTGATTATAGCAACGGTAGAAACAAACAGTTTTAGTCCACTAGTCCTAGTAATGATAACATAGCAAAACCCTTGAAAATGGCAAATTTCCATGAGTCCTCATGATACCTTAACTATTGGGCAGTTTGGCAAGGACTTACAGGACAGGTGCCAATTGATCAATGTACACAAGACTTATTTATTCGCGTATAATACGGACTCGTGTGTTATATGCACCTTAATTATGAGCAATTAAATTCTGGAAAAATATATCTCTCGCATATAAACATTTCAGGCTGTCAGCATAAACCACGAAATTTATCTTTCAACTATTCTTTCACCAAAATAATATTCTAAAAAGAGCCCACTATTTCTAATTTTGAGAGCTTTACGTCGAATACGGTATTGAAAACACGTCAGCATTGAAAGAACTATGACTTGATGCCAGATCTGTTACAAACATCACATAGTTGCACAGTTTTATATTTTCATAATCATGTTAAAGTGTTCCAGAATCAACAAGTCTGTGTTATGAATCGTTATATTTCCCTCCGATGGTGTGTGGAATTCCCTAAACAATCACACTCAACACCCTCACAGTCAGTAGTATCAATACTTTACAAATCTCTCTCGTGAAAACTGCAAATAAACTGCCAACTATTGATTTAAAACACCCTCAAAATTTGCTCTATTTGGAATGGCAGGATTCAGATTCATGTTCGTCACCAATTTATTGAACAGACTGATCTGAACCAAAGAAGGTTCAGTTTTAGCCAAACTACCCAATCACTGCAGGTATCATGATTGCTCCCTGTTGTTAATTAAATGCCCCACATCAGCTGAGATCCCCCTCAAGGTGACCACGAACAATATTGATCAGTTCTCCCTGGGGACCAGTCATTGTTGTATTTTGTCTGGAGCTGCAGCAGTTTCAATCAATGTTACAAATAGACGTAATGAAGTCTCCCTGTTCCGTAGACTGTGGCCACAGTAGCTGCAAGCCTCTTGGTTAATAGTGAATGAGAAATCGAGATTCATTTAGATTGCTGTTAACTTGAGCCAAATGTCCATTATCAACCACTGTTTGATACGAGATCCAAGAGAGACATTATAAATAGATTAATTTCCATATCTCATCTCATTAACATCCCCCTGTGATGATAATGGTCGTAACAACCTTGTGAGAGCGATGAAAAGACACATGTTACGAATCCTTCATACCGAATCTGCAAACATAATCACTCCCCTACATGAACACATGAATGTGCATCCCGACAGAAAGATTTTTTATGACTTTCTTGAAGTGATATTAATCTGGGAACATAAAGACCCCACATGAATAACACAATTATTTGACAACAAATTGTCAAAACCAAATCATATTTTATGATGACATCAATGTTTCCAGGCAGACATTATTTATTTTATTCATTTGAAACATGAACTTTTCGCCAACCAGCTGTTCT